TAAATGGGTGAGTTTCTTATCGATAATATTTTTCATATTTCTCTAAAAAACAAATCCTTTACGTACCTTAACGCGATTATTTATTATTAAATCAGCTTTGCGAATCATTCGTTGAATTCTGTTCGTACACGGAATTATTTAAATTAAAATATCATTTACGAACTTTGTTAATCTTCACTGTACACCATGCATAAAAATTTCATATGGTACACATAAGGTGTCATGCACACCAGAAAATTAAAACGACTGTCACGGTTAAACTACATATTATTTCGAGTCCGAAAAATTAGTGAATATTCTTCAGACGTTCTAAAGTAAAGGTGAACAGCGTTTTTCTTAAAAATATCACTGTTATGTAGTTAAAAAAATCCGGAAAGTTCTCGCTTCGTGACTTGTTCAATACTTCAAACGCAGCTCGAGTCTGTCCCGACCTTCTGTCAAAGCCTCGTGCTGCGGACTCTCTCGCGGACCCTCTCTCTCGCACCGTCACCTCTCATTGGCCAGTGTTTTTCGTTAATAACTCGTAAACAAAGCCGCGGATTGCATTTTCGTAAAGGAAAAAGTTACTTCAAATGACCTCAGCTACCCCTCATTTTCGGCTGTTAAAATAATTGTGAGACACCCTGTATAATATCAGCTACGTTTAATATCAGTTACAGTGCTCTTACTTAATTTCAGAAGATCATCGTTTTTTCTTTTTCTCGCTGAAAAATTGTCGTACGTCGAACGAAGTGTTTTTACCTTTTTCGTCCCATACTTGAAATTTCTAACTGATCCTAAAACGGCTTTCGAACGGTAACCGATATTGCAAAGTGCGTTCTTTCATCTTGCTCGACGTTATGTTTGTAAACAAACGGCTAAGGTGCCTCGCCGTCCGCAAGAAATGCGAGAATAAGTTATGCGTCCGAATATTTTTGCGACGATAAATTTCGATGTAATTTAGTTTATTGTTCGGTAGTAAGAAAAGTATGTGCAGTGAACTAATAAAATTTGTTATTACAAACTACAATGAATGTTCCATTATACAGGGTGTCCCAAAATTATACTATTTCCGGGAAATGGGGAATTCCTGAGGTGATTTGAAACAACTTTTTCCTTCACAAAAAATTTTTCCGGAGCATCGTTTACGAGTTATCGAGGAAAAACAATGACCAATGAGGAGCGAGCTGAGCTAGCGCTAGGCGGGCGAGCTTGCCTGGCGCTACGCGGCCGAGCCAATGAGCGCGACTGGGCTTCGTGCGCTCGTTGGCTGGACCGCCTCGCGCCAACCGAGCTCGCCTCTCATTGGTCAGTGTTTTTCTTGAATAACTCGTTAACGATGCCTCGGAAAACATTTTTGTAAAGGAAAAAGTTGCTTCGAATGATCTCAGGAGTCCTCTCCCGGAAGTATCATAATTTTAGGACATCCTGTATTATGAAATAATGACTCCAAATTTACTATTAGAATTAATCGAAACCAGCAACAATTTTTTGAATAGCATGATGTCCGTATATTAAATAAGAGTCACTGTATAGTTTGCCACGCACCAGTAGCTGATCTGAACAGGACCAGCACGGCTTGCGGGAACGATTGGAAGTTGTTGTTGCGGTTTATCGACGTCTCGTCGTCGATCGCAATCTTCCCAAACACCTGCAACGAAAACTCGATGCATGTCTTGATCTCTATGAACATTAGAACCGGCGTTATTTTTCATCTTAAATACGAGCGTTGTCTTCTTACCTGCATGCCTATTACAGCGTAAATAAAAAATAGCATTATAATGAGTAGAGCTACGTAGGGCAGAGCTTGGAAAGACTTGATGAAGGTCCAGAGAAGCGTCCTGATACCTTCCCCTCTGCTGAGCAGCTTCACCAGTCGCATCACTCGGAACAGTCGGAAGAAGTTGATGGAAATGATGGTTGAACCGGGCTGGGAACGTTAGTTCATTCTTAGAATTTCCATCGGGATTTAATAAAAATGCTTCGTCGCGGTTCGGCAGTCGTTTTTTTTTCTTTTTGTTTTTTTTTCTAGGGTGCTACTTACGTTGACTTCCGAGTAAACGATGTCGATGAAACTTCCGAGGACGATGATGAAGTCGAACACGTTCCACGCGTCACCGAAGTAATTCTACGACAAGATTTTCGCATTAAAAATGTGCATTCGTTAAATCGTTCCAATAAGTTTGCTTTTTAAATTGCCATTTAAATTGTTATTTCAAGCGAACCTTATTTCTTTCTAATTTGCGTTCATCAATTTTTATTCGCATTCTTTCAAATTCTGCTGTAAGATGATGCATCCGTTTCGAGACACGAAGCTGTGTGCGCGTGCGCGCGTAGCACAGTTTGCCGAATCGAAGCGCAAAATCAAAAATGAAAGAAAATGATGAAAACTTTTTTTAACGCGTACGAGGATTAAAAACATTGCGAAGAATATTGTAAATAGACCGCGGATCTTTGTGCCAAAATAAAAACGTTGTTGCGCATTAATTTCATAAAGAGAGATCTCCGTCTTTCTTTAATAATTTTCATTCGCTTAAAAAAAAATGTAGATATCGATGTTCTTCGATTCAGCGAATTTGCCTAAAAATCTCAGCTACTCGCTGTTTTCGTAAATGCGTGAAATCCGCAGTCTAAATTTCATTTGCTTTAATACACTTTTCCCAACGAGATTTTATATTTCAATATTTCATATTAGCATTATTATCAAGTTTAGAATCGTGTAAAAAAATTAAATTAAAATCTCAACGAGATTTTATATTTTAATATTTCATATTAGCATTATTGCCAAGTTTACACTCGTGTACAAAAATTAAATTAAAATCTCAACGAGATTTTATATTGCGCGAGATTTTATATTTTAATATTTCATATTAGCATTATTACCAAGTTTACACTCGCGTACAAAAATTACATGGTTGAATTCGTATCCTCGCGAAATTCAAAACAAATAACAAAATGGAACACATTGGAAAAAATCTTTTTCGTTGAAACGCGATTCTGACGATGGACGGTACAACTGCAGGGTGTCCCAAAAATATCTCGCAATCCGAAAGCGGCGGGTTCCTCGGGTCATTCGAAGCAACTTTTTCCTTTACAAAAATGTTCTCCGAGGCACCGTTAACGAGTTATTAACGAAAAACAGTGACCAATGGGAGACGAACTCAGCCGGCGCGAGGCGACCAAGCCAATGAGCGGAACTGGGCTTCGCGCGCCGGTTGGCTGGGCCGCCTCGTATCAGCCGTACTCGATTCTTATTGGTTACGGTTTTTCGTTAATAACTCGTTAACGGTGCCTCGGAGAAAATTTTTGTAAAGGAAGAAGTTGCTTCAAATGATCCGAGGAACCCGCCATTTCCGGATTGCGAGACATTTTTGGGACAAAATGTAGAATTCCTGTAGAAGCAAGGTTATGTCAGAAACAAAAGCGCAACGCGAGAACATGGAGAGACTAGCGTTCGCGCGTAAATAAAATTCGACATTTCATACACACCAACCTAAAATACACACACACAAATGTATCTGATGGGACGATTCGACAGCCAGCGATGAAGAGGAGATCACGTTGTCCCGGGAAATTATGTCTCTGTTACCTTGAACCGGAACGCGGCGAGCTTGAAGACGAACTCGAGCGCGAACACCGCGGTGAAGATCATGTTCAGGACGTCCAACGCCTCCGTGTAGATCTCCGGCTGACGGTAGAACTTCATCGCGAGCGTGACCGTGTTGATCATGATCAGAGTGAAAATGGTGTACTCGAACGGCTGGGAGGTGACGAACCACCATACTTTGTACTGTATTCGATGCTTTGGTATGTAACGCCGCACTGGTTTCGCCTTTAACGCGAACTCGATGCAATTACGCTGCACATACACAACCAGAGAATGCATCACAGACCGGGAGATCCGTGTGATCCGTAACGTATCACGGAATTTTGTCGACGAAGGGAAAATACAACGTGTTCGTTGATTTGTTTGTTTTCTTTTCTTTCTTTTCGCGATCGCAGATACAGAGGTACCCGTGATCGATCGTGACCCCGTAGTTTTTCAATAAAAATCCGAACGGACTGGCTTACCTGATTCTTGTCGAGCTCGCAGTTTTTGTACTCTTGCTCACCCTCGTTCTGGAAAGTGACAATAACGAAACCAACGAAGATGTTCACCATGAAGAATGCTATGATAATGATGTAAATGATGTAGTACGCGGCCACTATCGGCCGAAAATTATGAATTGGTCCATGATCCTCCTCGTTAGAGTCGATCGACACGTCTAGCAATCTGTTGGGAGAGAAAACGCTAAGCGATTGCGCACCGGACACTATTCTTTTTTTTTCTTTCTTAGAGAACAAGATCGAGATACGCGGTCCGTTCGTATGCCCGTGATATAATCGCGATGCGAAGATAACTTCAGGTTGCCGGGTTCCCGCGCGAAAGACAATCGAGGTAGAGACGAGACGCGACGGGACGCGACGGGACAAGACGAGACGAGACGAGACGAGACGAGAGATCCCGAGCTTACTTACGACGGCCAGCCCTCGAACGTCGAGACGGTGAACAGCGTCAGCATCGCCTTCGCGACGTCGTCGAAATGGAAACGGTTCTGGCACCAGTTCCTCTCCTTCATCACCGGCTTGTTGATGTTCCCGTTCTCGAACTCGAGGTATGTGCCCCTGAAAACGAGATCCGGCGCCCGGTCAACCTGTCACGAACAATCCGATCGCCGCGGAATACGGGGTTCGTGCAACTTACTTCTCTACAGGGTGTCCCAAAAATGTCTCGCAATCCGAAAATGGTGTTGAATGGCCGAAAATGGTTCCTCGGGTCATTTGAAGCAACTTCTTCCTTTACAAAAATCTTCTCCGAGGCACCGTTAACGAGTTATTAAACAAAAAAAAAAACAGTGACCAATGAGAGGCGAGTTCAGCTGGCGCGAGGAGACCGAGCCAATGAGGGGAACTGGGCTTCGTGCGCCGGTTAGCTGGGCCGCCTCGCGTCGGCCGTACTCGATTCTTATTGGCCTGGTTTTTGTAAAGGAAGAAGCTGCTTCAAATGATCCGAGGAACCCACCATTTCCGGATTGCGAGACATTTTTAGGACGCCCTGTATACGCGCGAACACGTTTATAGAAAAATACGAAACAGTAGAAACCCAACAAGAATGCAATTCCTAAATCTCGAATGCGTAGAACGAAGACGCGAAGATTGCGAACATATTCGCGTTATATTACCCAGATTCTGAACAATATTATATTTATTTCTATATATATTTCTAACAGGCACACGTTCTCGAATAAATAAACGCGAGATCGTCCAAGCGTCTTCGTTCCCGCAACGGTAATGGCTGCACGAACGCCGCATGTCCCGGCGTGTACAGGAACGATAACTTACTGGCAGTCGTCTTGCGTCATCTTCGATGCGTCGGTACAATAGAAAAATCTCCCCTACACAACACAAGAGAGCTATTAATGCGAAGCTGACCGGCAGAGCGCGGCGACGTTCGGAAAGCGTGACCGGTCGAGCGTAGGTCGATCCGATACGTTCCCCCTCCCTCGTTCCTTTACTGCGTCAATAACCGACGCGCAACAGTTCGCGCGGGGAACTACGATCGACGTCGCTGGGCCGTTCGATGATTAATCGGCCATTCACTAGCGTTCGGAGCAAAGTCAGTAGCAGCGAGTGTACGAGCAAAAGTAAAGGAAAGATGAAAGAAACAAATGTATATACGTATATGTTTGTATGTATGTATGTATGTATGTATGTATGTATGTATGTATGCATGTATGTATGTATGTATGTATGTATGTATGTATGTATGTATTTATGTATTTATGTATGTATGTATGTATACATATATATGTATATGGAGAAGTGACAGAAGCATTCCGTTTGGCGTGCACAATGTAATACAGAACATTATGTATGTATGTATGTATATATATATACAATATACACAGTATGTATATGTACATAGGAATTCATGTGCAGGCTGTCTTGTTTCGCCTGCGCCGATCGAGGCGACGTGGATCGTGCACGAGTGGGATCGAGAGTCCGGGAAAACGTTCTCGCCTGAAAGAACGATCTACCTTCCGACCTGTGGTTCGCTCGTCGACCGATTTCTCTAAATACACCGTCAATGGAACGAACGTAACGATCTCTTTAATTATCCGGAAAACTATCTAGGTAGCTTGACTCGTCATGCGCATCGATCTTCTATCGCTGTCGAATCGACGTTGACAGGATTAATCCTGTTAAATTAATGGAAAATTAATTTTGCTGGCTTCTTCCATAGCGATTTTGACACCGCGACGCGAACAGGGCATAGCCTGAGCCTGCAGCTCGATGCTGCATAGTGGGCCGAATCGAAGATTTTAGTGACTTTTTGACAAAAACCTAATTTTCTCATATCGATGTCCACTCAATTTGTATTGCTTGTTAAATGTCCATTACCCTCGAAAGTGGAAATATTAATACAAATGATCATAAATTGTAATAGATACGACAATTTAAAGTTGAACATTTTGAACACTACATTTGACGCCAAAACCTAACCTAATTAACTTTTCCCTTTGCTTTCTTTTTTAACATTAGGAGGCAATATTTCTCGTTAGGAAACAGTAGCTTAAATTAAGATTATTGTATCCTATATATGAAAAATATAATGTTTAATAAAATACAAAGAGTGTAAAAATTCTCTACATTCGACAAGGAATATCTTTTGACACTCGAGGAATCACGGTTTCGGACGAACGGTATATTTTCAGGATACATTCCTCTACATAATTCTGTAAAAGTTACAAACCAGAACGAACCAGATCGCAAATTATTACGTTTTAAAGATATCAACGTTACGTTACTTCGAGGTTAAAGATATCGAAGATAATCTCTCTGTGTTCCAGTCGGTATTACAGAACGCTTCTTCGTCTGTAAAAAAAAATCGACAGATATTTAAAATTTTAAATTATTCTATATAACATGAAAAATATAAGTAAACGAAACAAACTTTTTAACATTACGATACTAACGTACCTGGAATTACTAGCGGGTCCTCGTAATCAGTGTGGGTGCAATAAAGTACGCGTCCCAGAAAAAGTTCCCTGTACGCATTGTATGTAGTTGGTAAATTTCAACAGTTCGAACTTTTGATAAAATGTAGAGTACGTTATCGTTTCAATAAATCTGCAGCTTCAGGGTTTAATGTATACAGAGACCTTTTTCTGGGACGCGTACTTTATTGCACCCACACTGGTTACGAGGACCCGCTAGTAATTTCAGGTACGTTAGTATTGCAATGTTACAAATAGTTTGTAACATTATATTTAAACAATTTTTTTTTACAAAAAATGTCAATGGAAATTAATTAAAAATTATTGTTTAACAAATGCAAAAAAGAATTTAATTATCTATAGTTGAAAATAACTATTTTTTAAATATTTTCGGTGAAAATTTCATTGCAATCTCTTTGATGGTTCAAAAGTTATAACAGAATGTCACTGAATTTCTCGATCCAGCCCACTGGGTGCCGGTCCGATGTCCTTCGAGCCTAGCGCCATCTCGAGACTTGCTCTAGGAACTCGAAATCGACTTAGATGCCGTCTCTATCCGATTTTAGTCCGCGGTAGTCAAAGCTCCTGTCTCCGAAACGAGCATCGGACATTGCAGAAAACCGCGAATCGCTTGTTTACTGTTCGACTCACGAAGCCGATGTTTCCTCAGTGTCCCCGGTGCCACGGAGATCGCTAGGTCCACTCCATCGTAAAACGAGTTGCGAGGAGAATCGTCCACAAATTTCCGCCGGCTTTCGTTCCGTCTACAATTGCGCTTGCGACACCGTGAAAAATGCAAGATCGATGTATCTTCGGACGAATTCCCTTGGAGCGCTTCCTTTCAAGACGCTAAACTCGAACGCGACGCGATCGCTTTCCTAGCTGAAATTTGGCGTCGGACATACGAGATTCCGCGGTGATGGTGGATGCTTGTTCCTTCGGTTGTAATTATTGGTGACTGGATCAACGGTCACAGTTAGTACGATTTCTGCGAATGGAACGAAAGGAAGCAAGGCGTCATGCAGCTGGCTGTTCACGCTGCTCGCGCGGACCATAACCACGAGACACTTTCTATTATGCCGTGCGAACTATGAACAAGCTAATCGTCTAGCGCTGTGCAGAATTGTTCCACGTTCCGCGCGGTTCCTGAATCTCGGCGAGCAATATGGTGCCGTCGATTTCGTCGCGAATTGTCAAGGTTATATTGCGACATTGTTCGTGGGACATTCGTCATTGCTGAGGATCTTTGTGTAAAATAAAAATCTTCCGCATCGACTGCGGAACATTTGCATTAAGCATTTTCTTTTCTTTCTTTCTTTTTTTCTTCTAATAATTTCAATAAGTTGTAATTGGTGCATTAACATTCTTGGTTTCGTTTCATCTTTTCGTCGGTACATAACCTTGCGGGTTAACCTTCAAGCCCATTGTTGACGCTTCTCTTGCTAACGTTACGAAGGAGAACGTTTTTGAATTTTTTTTCGACGACGAATATTGCAACGATGACGCTTCTGAATCGCCGTTCCGTTTGAAAAAATGTAATCGAGTAAAATTATTGCGAATCTTGCGTGTTCTTCGAATTGAACGTTTTCCATTTTTTTTTCTGTTCTCATATAGTCTGAAACATTTTTTATCTCCTCCTGTTTGTTTCGCGAGATGGATTTCTTTGAAACGCGACGTTGCCAATGAAACATGATTTGTCGATTCGAAGGGCCGAGCTAAAAGGGTTCAACTGTCACCGTACGAAGTGCAAGCACTTTTACGGTATAAAGAGCAACATATTTTTCTGAGACCTTCGATATTAATGCTAGATTTACGGAACCCATCGAAATGACGGGTCACTAATTTTTTAATTTTCTAACTTTTTATTTTATAATTATGGGTTCCTATAGCCACTATGAAATTCTTGTAGAGCTTCACTCCCTGAATAAGAATCCGAAAACCGAATTGCTCCATCACCCTCAGTTTTTTAAATAAACGAACTTTTGTAAGAACCCAAAATTTTCGACAAAAATGAGGTATTGCATGAAAAGTACAAACGTTAGAAAGTTCTAATTGGTGTTAAAAGATAGAGGAGAGTTTCCCAAATATAGTGGCATGCAATTTATTAATTGTTTTTGGTCCTAAATAGCAATGAATTGATGTCAAAGTTTAAAAAAGTGTCGACGTGCGCAGTTTCTCCGAAATATTTTTGTATTTTTACGAAAAGTTTTTTGTTCGGCACGAAAACTCTACCCAGGATCGGATTCTGTAGACATTTCTGAAGAAGAAACGGCCCGGTAAAAGTGACGGAACGATATACATTTCGAGTAGATCGAGAAAATGTTCGACGGCAACATGTACACGACGTTTTGCCGCCATGAGCTTCGCTGCTCGCTTCTC